AAATAAATAAACCGGAAAGTTGTTTTTTTTTCCCCGTATAAGTTTGGTGCTAAGATTTAAGTTGCTGCAAAATCTGACCTGACCTGAGCTGATTCTCTCTCATCATTGATGTTTTCTATCTCTCTCTCTCTCCCTTCCTCTCTGGCCCTAAACTATGTCCTGAGATGGTCAAAGACAAGGACCGGCACCCCTGCCAGCCGGACTCTGTCTCGGGAGAGCTGCCAAAGCAGAATGAAGGCGCCAGCATCAGAGGGGTCGGAGGGTGAGGGCACAGTCGTCTAGGAGGGGGCATGAGTCTGCTGAACAGCTGGTTAAAAATGGGAAAGAGAGCCAGCTGTGGCTGTGCTGTGAGGGGAAGATGGGGACACACCCATCGCTGTGTCTCCTGAAAACAGCTCAGCAGTTGCTGCAAAATGAGGTTTGCAACGTGGAACCGACTTTAGCCACAGCCATCCCTGGTGTGAGGGCTGTCTTCTGGGCTCCTGGTGAGTTTTTCCACCCCTCCTGGGTGGTCCCCAGGCATCCACACTCGTGGATCAGAGCTGTGATGGTCAGTGTTTCAAAATTGTAAAATATACATGATGTAAAATGCAGTGTTTTGCCCTTTCTAGTGTACTGTTCTGTGCACAAAGTGCAGTCACATTGCTGTGTGACCATCACCACCACAGAGGGTCAGGCTACACCGTCCCCAGTGGTTCAATCGCTCAGCTGGATGTTGCTGGGAAGGTCTTGTGTAGATGTGGTTAATTAACATCTACCACTTTTAAGTGAAAGCGACGAATCTAGGTTCTTCGGATGGGCCTCATTCAATCGGTCGAAAAGGTCTTAAGCCCGGCCGGTGTGGCTCAGTGATTGAGCGTCGACCTATGAATTAGGAGGTCATGGTTTGATTCCTGGTCAGGGCGCATGTCCGGGCTGCAGGCTCAATTTTCCAGTAGGGGGAGTGCAGGAAGCCACCAATGAAAGATTCTCATCATTCATTAATGTTTCTCTCTCCCTCTCCCTTCCTTTCTTAAATCAATTTAAAAAAATTTTTTAAAAGAGAAAAAGGTCTTAAAATCAAAACCCAAGTTTTTCTGGGGAAGAAGAAATTCTGCCTCAAGCCTGCAGCATGGACCCAGCCTGATCTCCCGGCCCACTGGCCTGCCCTGCAAAGTGTGGACTCGGCACCCATCTGTCTCTGTCCTGTCTCTGTCATTGCTTATGTTTCCCCCTGACTGACAGTCTGCCTCTCCTATGGGGCTAAGGCTCTCTGAAGGCAGGAGCTGCCTTTTTTGTAGTTGTGTTCAGTTAGCATAGCGCATAGTAGCTGCTTATAAAAATGCAGCTACACCAGTATTTACACAGAAGTGGCTTGAGAGGCAGACTCATGGGAGAGAGCTCTCCCGCTGTGCTGATGGCCTGATGAATGAGCCTTGATCATGTACATGGGTCATTTTGTTTCCCCTTCTCCTTATGACCACCACCACTCCTACCTATTCCAGGTGGCTTTCCCCACTTGGGTGACAGGAATAATCTCTAGGACCCTCCTCTTGGTGGGTCCTGTGGCCGCCTGAGATTGCTGTTGCTTCCTCTGGAAAGCCCACGCTGACCTCGAGGGCCTGGTTAATGGCTCCCCTATAGGCTCCCATTGCACCCAAGACTTCTATGTCAGACCCATCACATCCATTTAGTCATCCATCCAATCAATGCCTCCTCTGTGGAGTGTCAGAGATCTGGTGGTGAACAAAACAGTTGCTGTCCTCATAGAGCTTACCTCTTAGCAGGGAAGGCAGATAATAAGTATATTGCACGTTAGGGAATAAACTTAAAACAGGGAAGGAGGATGTGAAATGTCATGGGAGGAAGTCCTTGTGTATCAGTCAGTAATGCTGTGGTAATGCTGCATAACAAACACCCCAGACAGACACACAGTGGGGAGCTCAGAACCCAGCAGCATTTGGAGAATTCAACTTGATGAGATTGACCTGGCAGGAGTGTGGATAGAAAGGAGAGGGGTGCAAGCACTGATCCCTGGGGCACCCCAATATTGATGGCTGGGACTAGGAGAAGACCCTGAGGAGGGAGCTCTGAGGTGGGAGGAGGAGAAGGACACCGTGTGTCGTAAGTGTTTCCCTCCACGTCCTGCGTGGTTCAGGGTTCGGGTCTGGAAGTGGAGCCGCACACAAATGAAATAGAAAAGACACAAGATAATTTGGGAATATGGGGGACCAGGCGAGCAAGTCCAACTCAAGAGGAAGGACTTCCACTGTGCTCAGGCCTCACCAAGCTTTTTATAGTGAGGGGTAAACAAGGTAGTGGTTACCATAGTTACACAGTTCTTGTGAGTTTCACTTGTTTACACTGTTCTTGCACTTCCTCAGCCCATTAGCTTCCCAGATAAGATCTAGGGAGTGTTATAAGATCAAGCTTAATTATGCTAAGAGGACTGTGCCCTTTAAGGTAGGACTTGTTTGTGACTTTGCCTGCAGGTCAGTCCGAGGCTTAACCCTATATCAGTTTCCCACAACCGTGGGCCCTAGAAGCCTGGTGGAGATGGCACGTTGAGAAGGGGGAGTGACCAGCTGGTCAGCTGCCCAGGGGCCAGACCAGGAGAGGCCTGAGAACAGACGCTGGACTTAGCAACATGGAGAGACGTTCGGGTGGGGCCATGGGCGACCTGACTGGACGATGGCAAGTTTGCCGGGTAAAGCAGAAGTGTGGGTCGTCATTAGCAAGAGAGGAGGTGGGTGGGATTTGTGAGTGCACAGCAACCTTGCTTCTGGGCTTGGACACAATCACCAGCGGCCCAGCTATGCCTCCTTCCATCACGTCTGGAGCAGCCTTGTCTGGGCTTGAGTCTGGGAGGTTTCATCCCAAGGGACCCACTGGGTCTGGCCACGAGGGCCAGGTTGGTTCCAGGCGCCAGGGGCCGCTTGTGTTTCTTCTCCTCACGTGGGAGTCCCCAGACAGCTCCCAGCTCGAGCAGGTTGAAACCGACTCCGTAAACCACCATCATCTCTCCGCAGCTGCTGTGGGTTCTGGCGACTTCTCAGCAGCCGTAACATAAGGGGGCCTGTCCTCAGCTCTAGCACTCACCTTCCCCACGGCTTTGAGAACAGCAACGAGGTCCCCCAGGAGTGATGGCTAATGTTACGTGTCACCTTGGCTGGGCCGTGGGGCCCACCTATGTGGTCGAACACGTCTAGATGCTGCCGTGTGAAGGTGTGTAATATGAGATTCACGTGTAAGTCAGTGACTCCAAGGAAAGCAGGTTCCCCGCCATAATCTGTATGATGGGTGGGCCTCATTCAGTCAGTGGAAGGCCAAGAACAAAGACTGAGTTTCTCAAAGAAGGAGGTCAGATGACAGCTAGCTAGCTAGATGACATAAATAGATAGATGGTAAATATGCAGATGATAGACAGATGGATAGACAAATGATAGATAGATAGATAGATGAAAGATAGATAGATAGATAGATAGATAGATAGATAGATAGATAGATGAAAGATAGATGGATAAATAGCTAAATGATTGTCCTGGAAGGGGCTGGCAGGGCATGGCCGGCTTCTAGGACATGGTGGGTCGTGGTAGGGTTGGCAGTGGGCTGTCCAGACAGCCTGCCGACCTCACGGAGTCGGGTTAGCTGAATGCATTCCCGCTGACCCACAGCAATGCCCATCGCCTACAGAGTGCGGATTTGTGGGTGAGCCCTGCTGGGCCCTGGAGTGGAAAATCAGGTGCTGGGCTTTGTGCCTGCGCGGCAGACTGCTGGCCTCACGGGAATCCTGCAGACCAAGCACATAGCAGCCTTTGTGTGAGGGGGACCGAGTCAGCGCCCAGGTTGCAGAATGCCAAGCTGCTGAGGGCAGGCTGAGCGGGGCTGGGAGACACTGCGACGGGGACGGCCTGCGAGGGTGGCCGTGACGGTGCGTGCGTTCTACACACATGGATTGACCTGGGGAGGCACAAAGATGAATAAGAAACTTCTCACCGTCTGGATTGCCCATCACCAAGCTCCCAGGGGGTGGGGACGGCTTTTTCCTTTGCTGTGGGTGGGTGTGAGTTAGTACAACGCTCCCCAGAGGCCACGCTACCGACAAACACCAAAAGCCTTAACACCGGGAAACATCAAAAGTCTAAAAGCTGACGGATGGCCCTGGCTGGTTTGGCTCAGTGGATAGAGCGTCGGCCTGTAGACTGAAGGGTCCCAGGTTCGATTCCGGTCAGGGGCACATGCCTGGGTTGCGGGCTCGGTCCCCAGTAGGGGGCGTGCAGGAGGCAACCAATCAATGATTCTCTCTCATCATTGATGTTTCTATCTCTCTTTCCCTCTCCCTTCCTCTCTGAAATCAATAAAAATATTTTTTTAAAAAAGCTGATGGGTGGCAGGTCCCCTCGGGGAAGGCATCCTGAGCGATAAGTGGGCAGGCCATAGAGAAGCCAAGAAGGGGCCAGGTCTTGCCGATCACTGTGTTGGCTGACGGTGGCAGGCCTGACGGGGTCCTGGTTTAAGGGACGTCATGCCCAGGAAGGACACATCAGCAGGGTCGACACCAGGGTGAACCCATGGAGGAAGGTCCAAGGGTGTTCCACGTTCGTAACAGTGAATTTGCCGGCCCATCTGGATGCACACAGATGCCACGATAGGGACCCCCCCCCCCCCACTGGAATGACAGGCCCTTTCATTGCGTGGTATTTCCTGTCTTTCCTGAGACAGAAATTACAAATGCGCATAATTTTTGTTGGCAGGAAGAAGTGATAGAGGTAATTCTGTTTTGAAAAACTGTGCCCTCAGCTGGTAGCTGTGGGGTCGGGGACCACGTGTCTAGCCTTGTGTCTTAGTTTCCTCGTCTGTGACACGGGTCTGAGGACCCACAAGGAGGGTGGCCATGACCACACAGGACCACACAGACAGACAGCGGGAATGCATCCGGTGGCAGGGATGAGCCTTCACTGTCCCCCAGGCGAGGGGCCGAGAGCCGCTAGGAGAGCCGCTGCTGGGGGTGCCTGCAGGTCAGTGCCCGGGCTCTCAGCCAGGCCCCGTTTCTGCTGACTGGACAGCCTCCCCCATGAGCTCACGCTTTTGGACGAATCCCCTGACGCCTGCATCCTGTCCCGGGCGTATATAGGGAGGGCCCCACGCCCGGCTCCCCACTGTGCCACCCAGAGGCCTGCTGAGTCCCGGGTCCTGCAGCCCCGACGCCCACCATGGACATCGCCATCCAGCACCCCTGGTTCAGGCGCGCCCTGGGCCCCTTCCACCCCAGCCGGCTCTTCGACCAGTTTTTCGGCGAGGGCCTCTTCGAGTGCGACCTGCTGCCCTTCCTGTCCTCTACCGTCAGCCCCTACTACCGCCAGTCCCTGTTCCGCACCGTGCTGGACTCTGGCATCTCTGAGGTGAGGCGGGTGGTCGGGGAGGGCTTGGCGGGGTGCCTGGAGGACCAGTGGCTGGGATTTCCTAGGGCTGCCCTGGAGCTCTGAGCTCTCCTCTCACTGTGTGGCGTGCATGGCGACAGCTGCAGGGCCACTTCCCCCCTCGCCCCAGTCCCTCCTGACGGCAGAGGCCCGTTGGGCGCCCCCTACAGCAGAGACTCCTGTGCCTCCGGAGAGGGGTCGAGAGGGAGCCAGACTGGACCCGACCGCTGTCTTTTCCTCCATCAGCTCATGACCCATATGTGGTTTGTAATGCACCAACCACATGCTGGAAGCCCCAAGAGCAACCCCACCAAGGCAAGTTCGATGGCCGACGCGAGCTGTGTGTTCAGCAGCAGAAGCCTGGGTGGGGGGTGCTGCCCAGGTCCCCAGCAGAGGGCCTACGGGGAGCCCTGGTCGGCCAGCGGAGAGGGGGCTCATCCCGCACCGGCCCAGGTGCCCAAGGCCAGGCCCAAAGGAAAGGCAGCGAGAGCCACCCGTCTTCCCTCCCCGAGACGGACCCCAAGCCCGGAGTGCTGGGTGCCAGGTCTGCCCACCGTCTAAACCAGGGGTGGGACCTTTCTCCTGCCAGGGGCCATTTGAGTATTTATAACATCACTCTCGGCCATACAGAATGATCAACTTAAAAATTAGCCTGCTCTAGTTGGTCGAACATTTCATGACCTCACCCCTAATGCCTTACTAGTAGCAGGGCCAGACCAAACGATTCCAGGGGCCTTATGCGGCCTGAGGGCTGGGCAGTCCCCACCCTGGTCTGAATGCAGGCCTGCCCAGAGCTGACACACACGGATCTACCCCAGCGGCCAGAACAGCCTAAACACAGGTTCTGCGTGAGGAGCAGCGCCCGGAAGTGCTCTGTGTGCAGGTGGCGGCCACCTCGTGGGCTGTTGGGCGCGGCCAGTCGATGGGAAAGGACAGGGCCCCAGGCTGTTGACGGCGGCCAGGGGAAGCCAGGGCAGCGGCTTTAGTCCAGGTGCTAGGTCCACCCACCCAGACAGCCAGCCAACAATCAACCTTACCCATCCAACCAACCAGCCAGCCAACCAGTAGCCAACCAGCCAGCCATCCCACAGCAGCTGCCCGGCTGCAACCAGCCAGCGGGCCCGCTACCAACCAGACATCCGCAGACACCACCGCCCTGCACCCAGGTCTGGCTGTCAGCCGAGTGTCCACACAGCCCCGGTCCCTGGTCCCCTGCGTGTGTCTAAGAAGAGGCCAGCGCTGTGACCTGCAGTGTCTGTCCTGGTAACTGGGGACGGAGCTGCCGGCCACTCCACGTTGGCCGCTCTGGCCGGCCCGGCAGGGACCACAGCAGCCAGTCCCCTCCCCGAGCCTTGGCCCAGGGAGACCCACACAAGCGTTTGGGTTCCAGGTCCGATCCGACCGGGACAAGTTTGCCATCTTCCTGGACGTGAAGCACTTCTCCCCGGAGGACCTCACCGTGAAGGTGCAGGAGGACTTCGTGGAGATCCACGGCAAGCACAGCGAGAGGCAGGTGAGCCCCGAGCCGTGAGAGGGCCGCCCCAGGGCTCCGGGATCCAGGCTTCTCCAGGCGGGGGTGTCCTGTCCTCAGCGTAGCTGCCGCCCAACGCCTGGGGCTGTCCTGCTCCCTTCAGACCACCTGTGTGCTCGATGGGATGGGATTAGGACGGACCCGCTGACATGCCGAGCACCAAGCTGGCGAGCTCAGGTTTTGTCATGCGCCCAGCTTTGGAGGGCGAGCGGTGACGACAGCGGAGCCCGCATTCATCGGTGCTGCAGACGCTTTGTGTGTGTTTACACGGTCACCTCTCGGCAGCCCTTCACGACCAGCGCTCCATTATCTTGAGTTGGCTGGTGGCAGGGCCAGGCTCAGGGAGGCCCTTGGCCTGCCCAGTCCCACAGCCAAGGCGGGGTGGGATGTAAGGGCGCCTGGGCACTGGAGCTGGCGGGGGCAGGGTCTCTGGCAGAGCCGGGAGAGGCCCACGGGCGGTCACAGGCATGCACTGTCCCCACGTGAAGTGGACAGGACGTGGGGCCTGCAGGCACCATGCTGGCAGCACCAGCTTCTCGTGGCCGGGGTCAGAGACCAGGGTTCCTTCAACGGCTGGAGGAGCCGTGGGTGTTGGGGGAGGAGGGGAGGCGCTGTCCATGCCACTTGTTTAGCCGGCTCAGTCCAGGATGCCCTCCCCTGCGGGTTCTCAGCCTTCCCACCCGGAGGAGGGACGCGGCCCAGGGGGCGAATGTGGGCTAGCGCGTCCGGGAGAGTGGGTTCCTGAGCTCAGGCGGGGCTTTCTGACCCTCAGGTGGATCCAGGGACCCCGAGCCTGAGCGGTCTGTAGGGTCACAGGTACAGGGACACCCTGACC